AAATTTTTTAATGCTATAATCCACACAAGTAAACATAAACATTCTAGACAGTCCTCTCTGTAGAAAGCAGCAAGGTTGTGTGAAAAACACCAGGATTCTTGCTACCACATAAAATAAAAATAATAAAAAAATTTTTAAATGCTGTAATCCACACAAGTAAACATAAACATTCTAGACAGTCCTCACCTTTCTCTCTGTAGAAAGCAGCAAGGTTGTGTGAAAAACACCAGGATTCTTGCTACTATTTATGAATGAGACAGCATGTGTGCCCTTCGTATAGGGAGGTTTTGCTACCGGCTGCCCAGCACTATGCTACCTATGCAGCAGGCAGTGAGGACAGTGGGAGCCAGCAGTGCTATACTGCTAAGCCTTTTGGAAAGGTGTTCAAGAACAGGAAAATTAACAGCCTTGTAGTCATACCAAGAACCTCAGTTGACACCACTGTTAGTAAGCACCATTTTTTTGGTGTGTTCCAAGTAATAATCATGCCAAGTAGCTGGCATGGTCCAGATACAGAATTTCAAATCTGTTTTGTCTTTACACTTGTTTTCTCATAAATTCTGCAAGCAACTTGGTAGAGGAAGCAGGGTTTCAGGTTTTTTTTTTTTTTTCCTGACTTGTTCAGAATGGAAGACCATAAAGAGTGTTATCTGTGTGTGAATTACAAAACGTACCTCTCCCCTTCCCTAATGGAAGGAGTTCCTAGTAGATGAATCTGCCCTCACTTGCTCCTTGACTGGGAACAACCTGTGTATCATTTGCAGCAGGCTTGATTTTGGAAATAGTTCAGTTTCTGGAAGTAATCAGGGGAATTGGAGGTGCCTGTTTATGGAACTATAGAACCTGGGCATTTTCTTCTGGTAATGCATTTAATTAAGACCAAATGATTATAAAATTTCTAAAGGCGAACACTACTTTCCTCATAAAATATATTTTTTAAAAATTCACAAGCATATTATTCAACAACATTCTTGAATTTTTGCAAGGATATTATTCTATTCCAGTCCAAAAAAGCTGCATTTTCAAGATGTAAGTATTTCCCAAATTTGCAAATTCTTACATTCTATGGATTTCCTGGAGAAAGGCAAGAAAAGAGCCAAGATGTTGGCTAAGGAGGTGGCTCAGCGGGTAAAAGTGTTCATTTTACAAGCACGAGAACATGGCTTCAAGTCCTCAGTACCCACGAAAAAAGAAGGGCCAAGGCATGCGCCCGTAACACCCGCATGGGGAGGGTTTTCTCTGGCCAGCAAGCCTAACCCAAGTGGCAAGCTTCCAACTGAGTGAGATGCCCCATCTGAAGGTAACAAGGAGGAAAGAGATAGGAAAAGACACTCTGACATCTTACCGTGGCCTCCACATGCGCACTCAAGGGTGCACACATCCATGCACTCAATACATGTACCACACACACAAATGCCATCTCTCCCAACACACAGTGCATAACACATACAGGAATAAGGGAAGAAAGGAGGAAAGGAGGGAAGGAAGGAAATAGTCAAGGTACAGTGTGTGAAGGTTGTCTGCTGTGTCTTGCACATGTTATTTGGTGGAGTTGAACAACAAATGTCAAGCAGGTTAAGGTGGTTCACATAGGCTTCAGCAAGGACTCCAGATGTAACTCACAGATGTGATGTGGAATCTTGCTAAGTCTGAATCACTTTTCAGGCTGGCACCCTACACAGCCTCAGCCCCTTCTGAGCCTGGAACCCTGGCTGAACCCCATGCTACCCACAATACTCGGCATTGCCCCTGGATAGGAAAAGTCATCTTAGACGCAGAGTGTCTAAATATCATCACCTTCCCCACAGTTCTGGAACTTCTCAGTATTTTCTGTTTTAATGAATGGTACCAACCATTCAGGTTGTAACCAATGTCAAAATCATCCAAAAATTCTCCTTCACTCCTCCTGGTGCATACAGCAGTCACCAACCTTACTAGATGTCTTCCCCCCAATCACTTCCTTATGTCTATACTGTCACAGCCAGGTCAAGGTCATTGTCATCTTCAACTGAACTACACTGTAGGGTCTCCCGCCAATCCACTCCCCACACCAAACATACACGGTGTCCTCTCTATGTCACCACCACAGAAGATATGCCAAAACCTGCCTCTAGATTCTCTCTGCCTCCGTCCTGTGACTTGCCAGTGATTCACAACGTCTCTGTGCTGATCCAGGAGGTCATGTGTCATGTCCTCACCATCAATGGGCTTTCACTCCTGCTATTTCCTGTCTCCTCTGTGTGGCAGTCTGCCTAGTCAGCCTTCCTAAGATGTCAACCTAGAGCTCCTCTCTAGACAGAGAGGGAAGCTACCACATGGGTTCCCAGAGGGACTCTACCCCACCTTACAGCAACCCCTGTCTTTTGCTGTAATGTTCACCTAGAATGTAAGCTTTGTGGCAGCAGTGACTTTTCTTGCTACAGCAGAATGTGCTGTCTATAGCAGAGCCAAGCACACTCTGGCAGAATAAAGAAGTGTCTTACTGTTTGTTTTAAACTTTGAAACTAAAGAAACAAAAATACGGGTGAAAAACTTTTAAATGATTCCAGTGCTGAATTCTAAAGTAATGTTTTCTTTTATACTGTTTTCCTCATTTCTTACTATCATAATTATTCTCTAGGGCCATTTTGTTTCATTTGCTTTCTAGGGTAACCACAGCAGATGCTTACTAGAACACCTGCATAATGCGCAAGTCAACTCTTATTCTTTTTGGAAAATGTCACCCTTTGCCTCAGAGTCTATCCAAGTTCTTCCCAGAGGACTTGGAACTACAATGAATTGCAGACTAGCTCTTCTAGTGGGTTCAAGTGGAATATGTCAACTCTGGAGCTGTGGAACAGAAACAGCTCATCCTGTGTGCAGGGAAACCTGGTCTGGAAAGGGGGTATAAGGAAAGAAGAGGAGAGGACAGGGGAGGGGAGCAGAAAAGAGTGGGGGAGAGAGAAAAGACAGTGAGAGGGGAGATGGGAGAGAGAGGAGGGGAGGGAATGAGAGTGTGGAGGAGTGGAGGCAAACAGAGGAGAGGACAGGGAAGGGGAGCAGAGAAGAGAGGGGAGTCAACAATAGTTCCCCTGTCTTTTCTAGAGGCCTGGTGAATGCCTGCCTTTGTGTTGTCTTGAGATAGTCTTTTTTAACATTTGTGTATGTATGTGCATGTGTGTGTGTGCATACACATGCCATTCACAGGTGTGGAAGTCAGAGGACAGCTTGAGATACTTTTAACCTTAATATAATTCCCCTTTTATTGTCTAAGCCAGGAGAAGAAACATCAATTCCTAACAACTATGATGATATATTTTGAATGAATTTCCATAAGGCATCATTTTAAGTACAAAGATAGTTTTTAAGAAATGTAAGACACAGGTGTTATTAAGGAGGAAATGGCGGGGAGTTCTCTAACTGGGGAGAACCTAGACATAATTGAGATAGGAACAACACATGAGATCTGGATTTTTGAATTAGAACATATTGTATGGAAGATCCCTCCTCCATAAAGCCATGGACCGTCATTGATTATTATAGTATGGCTTAAGAAAATAAATTTAGCTGAGTTCCTGAAATTGCCACAGGTAGAAAGCATTAGCTCACAGCAGAACACCAATTTCTCTTGGTGCTCACTGTCACATCTCTGCTTAGTTCTGTAGAAGTTTATGGAAAATTGATAAGAATATGCTATGTTAGCCGGGTGTGGTGGCGCATGCCTTTAATCCCAGCACTCAGGAGGCAGAGGCAGGTGGATTTTTGTGAGTTCAAGGCCAGCCTGGTCTACATACTGAATTCCAGGACAGCTGGGGCTACAGGGAGACCTTGTCTCAAAAAGACCTTTTTTGCCTAATCACAGAGGAAATGCAACAGTCAACTCACAGGACTGCATCTCCAAACTAAAGAAAGTTCTACATGTGGAAAATTCTCAGGGGCGGGGTGAAAAAGAGACAAGGTTTTAATTAACAATCAAGGATGTTCATTAACTAGTAATGATTTCCTATCATTTATTGAAGCTATCTTAAAGTAACCAACATAAAAGTGAGTGGTGAACCATGGAACAAAGAAGTCTAAAGCTCTCTGCAAACTACTCTACTGATCTAATCCTTTAGGACAAATCTGTATTTTCATGTGACATCCATAAAACACGAGTTATCTGTTGGCTCTTTATGGAGCCCAGGCACCCTCATTATGAATAAGGCAATGAAGGAAAGATGATGATTCCTATCATGAATCATTTCTTGCTTTCCCAACTTTAAAATACTCAGTCTATCTTTGGAAAGCCTCAGAACATGGTTGGAAAATATTTATGCTTTGAAAACATGTGACTTATGACAGAAAACATAGAGGTTCATGCTCTGGTTAACAGTCACTCTGGGCTTAAAAGGGAGTAACAGGTTAAAGTAAATTGCTCTAGACAAGCGCCTGAAGCCAGCTTAGTGGAGCCCACAGAACTTTGGGGTTTCAGTGAGAACTTGGTTTGTGACGTTGACAAGCTTTATGTCCAAGGCAGCTTTTTAAACCATCCTGCCTTTCTAACACTGTCTCTTGACTAAAAAGGCACTGTTTGTTTTGTCTTAAATGCTTGTGAAAGTTACTCTGGAACCATACCAAAAAACTTGTGCCGCATTAAACTTGACCTTCAGCTTTTATGAGAGAAGTACTTAGGTATGATGCATTTTCCAGAGCATGGACCCCTGCCAGGAAACGAATGTTCACATGGGAAAGCAAGCGAATCTCACCTGGGTAATCATTCTTGTCTATGTCGGCATCTCCTCTCAGAGAAAACCCAAATCCAGAAGGGATGGTCTGTGAGGCCCACATGCCTTGCAGAACTTGGGAGGGCTTGGTGTGTAAGCCGTTCTGGTTCCCGTTGTAAATAAGCACTTTGCCTCTTTGATCCTTGCCTGCAAAGGGTACACCAATGGCGATGTCTACAGAGACAGAAACAGATTTGAAAATAAGGAACATTTTAGAAATAATTAAGTACAATCAAAACATAATATCATAAAGTCCAAATGTCTTGTGACATTTTCCAAGAGGCTTCTGGAGCACTGCAGCAACAGAGAAATATCCATTGCCTTTTACTCACGCTAGGGGTATCTACTGAGAGCACACTAGGTGCTGGACACTGTAGGTGGAACAGTGAGTCAGATGCTCAAAGCCCCTGTGTTTAGGAAGTTTGTGTTCTGGGCAGATAATTGAACAATTTGAATAGAGGCCCAATCAAGGAAATATTATATGTGACAGATTCTATGTAGGGGATCTTAAAAATATGATATAGAGGGGAGAGGAATGATTGGTGTTTTTAGACTAGGTGGTCAGACAAGGTGCCGTTATGACTGATGTTGAAACTGAAATCTAAGATCAAGAAGGGACCAAGTACGTGACAATTAGAGGGAAGAGCCACCCTCACCCCCTTGTAGGCAGAAGTAGTCACTGTACAAAGATCCTGGGGGGGGGTTAGAAGGGTGGCCCTTTGGAGGAGCAGCCAGAGAATTACCTACAAGGAACCTTAGTGACTTGACTGAGGTCTGAGATAGCCAGGCCACACCACAGATCATGGGGTTGGGTGGACCAGGAGAGGTACCTTTGTGGGTACTTAGGAGTTTCTTCTTTTAAGAAACAAAATCAAAAGCTTCATTCCCAAGGATTACATTTTGTAATAGTTACCTAGTCCTGTGATCTAGAAAAGGCTTATTTTATCATTAAGAATACTGTGAAACCTAGGGAAAGTCAGGTTACCTGACTCTCAGCCAAATATATCATTTATCTCCTATAATAGGTCATCAGGATTGCTCTGGACAATAAGTAGAAACTGTTCTGTTTTAAAAAGAAGTCCCCAAACACAGCAGCATAAGAGTTCACCAATTGGGGGGGTGGCTCATTTATTAGAAAAAGTCTTTTTCCCTTTGTTCCTAGGTACGTGTGGGTAACACTGAGTAAATCGGGACTCAATCTCTTTGAGAATTATATTATAATGAATATTGTTATAAATCCATTTTCATTGAACTGGTCAAGATAAATGATGTGAACTCAATCAGACAAAACCAAGCACGGAACATGGGCAGCAGGTCCCACCCTAGCCAAGGAACTATTGGCAAATGACTACTGTGGGGTGAGGGAGAGTAGGTCTTCTTTAAGGGAGTGACTCTAGACAGGCTGCCTAGACTCCAGTGGATGAACTTGCATTGAGGGTCTCATCTGGGTTCAAATGCTTGACTGGATAAGACTAGCGTATACGACAGAATGTCTGAGTTCTGCTGTGGGGGGGTTATGGGCTGTAGGGAGAGGAGTCTAAATTTGATTAAGATATATTGGAAGAAATGCACAAAAACTCAATAATATATTAAAAATGAAAAAGATAAATGATCCAAAAACTCATATTGTTGCAGAAAATAAACAGAACTGCCCTGTGCATGGTGAGAAGAACCTCTTCCTAGCTTCTAAGTCAGTCGCTTTTCAGCAGTCGCAAGCATAAGCCAGCTAGCTTGCCATTATTTTGCCTGTTTTATACTCCAGGACACCAATGGTTGGACCTTACAGCCTCTTTTTTAAAAATGTGTTATTATTTTATGTGTATGGGTGTATTGCCTACATGCATGTAAGTGCACCCTTGTCGTTCAGTGCCTTCAGGGGACAGAAGAGGACATTGGATCCCCTGGAACTGGAGTTACAGATGGGTGCTGGTATTCAAACTCGGGTCTTCTACAAGAACAGCAAATGCTCTTAACCACTGAGCCATCTCTCCAGCCCCTAAGGGCCTCTTGATATGGTTTAAAACTTTTAGTTTTTAAGGACACCATCAAGATTTAAAGAGAAAAGACAAGTAGAAAATACAGTGCGAAAGACAACTCAGATATTTTTGCATTAATTTCCCTCAGATGATAGTTTTAGTTTTAGAAAGCAGTAAGTCAAGTCACTTAATGGGGACCTGTCTTCTTTATTTCCTGGAATGTGAGTATTAAACATTCACTTTTTTCTTTGGTACTAGGGATTGAAACTTGGGTCTCGAACATGCAAAGTAAGGGCCCTCCCACTCTTCTATATCCCTGGTCTATACATTTGAAAATTTACTCAAAAATTCCTAGCTGCTGAAAAATTTTTCCCTAAGAAATCCCAAGTCCAAAACACTTGCCATATGTCAGTGAATAACCCTCCGATACTTTTGATGCTGCTTAGATACAGAAAAAGTCCTGTTATAGCTTCAACTTTGATCGAGAAACATTTTATACCTTGGCTCTTCACGAAAAAAGTGTCCTGAAAAATGTGTGCAAATTTTATGTAGACATGCATTTTTTTTCTGAGAAAGTATTTAGAAGGCATCTATGGGTCCTCGCTTAAAGAACCACAAGCCTAAAGTAAGAATTTCATGCTATTTTATTTCAAACATTGGAACAGCCTTTAAACTGAACTTTACTAAGAATGATTCAGCTTAACCTATGTGTAGCTCATATAGTTTGATCATAAAATAGTAATATACTTGTTAATATGCCAACATGTATTTACTTAGCTCCATTCCTTTCCTATGAAAATTTCTACAGTTCTCCTCAAATCAACACTGAGAACTGTCATAGGTCAACTTAAATCACATGAAAAAAATGTCCACGTGGCATCTACATACATCAAAGTAGATTAAATAGATTGTAGATGAATCATAGGTTAATTAATCAAAACATACAAACTCAAATTCACCTTGATATTTTTCAGAATTTATTAACAGCCAACAATAATGACTGTACTCTTACCCCCACCACTAGCAATACATTTAAATGACCATTGTTTCCTTCATGTAATAGGAGCAGGGTCAAGATGCACATGAGTTCCAGACATGGGTCTAAATTACCATTGTATCCATCTTGGTTCAGGTCCCCCAAGTGCGCCACAGCACTTCCGAATCTCCCGAAAGTCTCTGTGCCAGTGAGCACCTGCGGGTCTTGGAAGAGGAGGGCATTCGCTTGCAAGTACAGGTAGACCTGTCCAACTTCTCTAGGGTTACTCTCAAATTCGCGTTCCATAAAGAGAGGGGCCCCGATCAGTATGTCATCCATGCTGCAGAAAACAGTGAGAGCAGTCAGAACCTGGAAACAGAAGGTTCTCTCATGCTTGTAATCAGCCAGACGAGTACATTTCCATTGGTATTATTCCTATTCCTTGTCTGAGGATCATTTTATAATCATCAGATTTCTTTCATTGTTTTGTTATGTCTACAAAGCAGAATGCTGTAAGAAAATAAGAACTGTTAAATTATCACATTGAACTTTCCAACTATGTTAAAAATGACTAAAAAGCCACAGATATTTCACTCTTTCCAACGTTTTAGGGCATTTCCAGAAACTGTAGTCACACAAGGAAAACATATCAAAGAGACCTGAATAGATTTTTTAAAAAAGGAATTTAGACTTTGTCTATAATTTTTTAAATTGACAACAACTTCTTGCAGTAATAAGATTTCAAATGATTTTTGTCCTTCTTTTGGTTAAACAAAGCCAGAGAAGTAAATAATGTTGGATATAAATATAGAAAACAATTTTTTATCCCTGATGAAATATGCAGTTATTCTTTGTATAAGTAGATCATACAAGAAACTGAAAGATGAGCTTTAAGGCTTTGAAAACTTCAAGGATTAAGAGATGAGGGTGTGACCACTAGGAGAAGAAACGAAAGTGACTGAGGTATCTCCTTCACACAGCCAGGCATCACAAGAATGGACAGAACAGAAAACTTTCTGTTTTGTCAGGAGACTTCTAAAATATTTTATTTTTATCCCCACCAAGTACCAACAGTCCTGTAGAGGAGTACAATGAGAACCCCCCGTAGAGATAACCCAGGACATGGAATTCAAAAGAACAATTATAGCTGGGTGTGGTGGCACACACCTTTAATTCCAGCACTCAGGAGGTAGAGGCAGGTGGATCTCTGTGAGTTCAACTTTAAATATCAATACATATCAAGTTCCAGGAAAGCTGGGGCTACATGGAGACCTTGTCTCAAAAAAGACCAAAAAAAGAACAATTATAAACATGATAAAAGAATTAGGTTCGATTCCCAGGGCAGCAGTGAGCCCTATTCATCCTCCATAGTGTGCACAGACACTGCCTTCTTCCATGGAGGCAGACAGAGGCCTTCATCGCACTCATTTTTCTTGGCTTCTCATAAACACTATTTTGAATTTCGATACGACCTCACTTTGCTTTCTCTAATTGCCTTCTGGTACCTACAACTCTGCTGAGTATCTTCTTAAACGTGTGTGTGGTGTGCGTGGGTGTGTGCATTTGCATGAGTGTAGAGGCCTGAGATTGAAGTTTGGTGTCTTCTTGATTGCTCTCTGCTTTACATATAGAGCCAGAATCATAGGCATACAGGAAGGAGAAGAATCTCAGGATAATGGTATGGACCAGATCTTCAACAGGATCGTAAAAGAAAATCTCCCAAAATTAAAGAAAGACATGTTCACACAAATACAAGAAGCACACAGAACACCAAATAGACAGGACCAGAAAACAAACTCTCCATGGCACATCATAGTAAAAACACTAAATGTTCAGAGCAAACAGACAATACTGAGAGCTGCAAGAGAAAAATAGCAAGTTACATATAAAGGAAAACCCTTCAGGATTACAGCTGAGTTTTAGTGAAAACTATGAAAGCCAGAAGAGCATGGACCAAAGTATTCCTAGTTCTAAAAGACTGCAGATGCCAAACCAGATTACTTTACACAGCCAAAACATCTATTATAGTTGAAGGGGAAAGAAAAATCTTCCATGACATATATAGGTTGAAAGAATTCATATCCACAAAACCAGCCCTCCGGAGAGTTCTTGAAGCAACACAAAGAGCTGAATAAAGGAACAACTATACCCAAGGGATTACAGAAAGAAACTTAATGAAGGTATAACTATGAAAAGGCACAGCTACACCAAGAATGTGAACAGAAACCAAAATGACAGGAATCAATATACATCTTTCATTAATAACTTTAAATATCAATGTACTGAACTCCCCAGTCAAAAGACACAGACTATATGAATGGATTAAGAAACAAAACCTATCTTTTTGTTGTCTGCAAGAAACTCATCTCACTTTCAAGGACAGACACTACCTTAAGGTGAAAGGACAGAAAAAAATATACTAAGCAAATGGTACTAAGAAAAAAGCAAGCATTGCAATTCTAATATCTGACAAAATAGACTTCAAACTAAAACTAATCAGAAGAGATAAAGAGGGCCATTTCATTCTGATCAAAGGAACCAAGTACATACTACAATCATGAACATATATTCATCAAACTCTGGTGCACTCAACTCCATAAAAACAGTACTACAGGACTTTAAGACCCAGATTAATCCCAACTCATTAATAGTAGGGGACCTCAATAACACATTGTCTCAATTAGATAGGTCAACAGTAACAGAGAATTAACAGAGAGACATTTCAATTAAATAATACCAAACATCAAATGGGGCCTAACAGACATTTACTGAATATTCCACCCAAGCACCAAAGAATATACTTTCTATTCAGCACCCCATGGAACTTTCTCCAAAATCAACCATATACTGGGGCACAAAACAAGCCTCAACAAATACAAAAAGATTGAAATAATTCTATGCATTCTATCAGACCACAATGAAACAAAGCTTACAATCAACCCTTAAAGAAACCCTCGTCACCATATGAACATATGGAGAATAAAAAACACACCCCTGAATGAATGGGTCAAAAGAGAAATTAAAAAATAAATAAAAGTATTCCTGGAACTAAATGAAAACACAACAAAACCTCTGGGACGCACTGTTGGGATTGCAAACTTGTTCAACCCCTATGGAAAGCACTGTGAAGAACTCTTAAAAAACTAAAAATGAATCTACCATTTGACCCAGTTATACCACTCCTTGGCATATACCCAAAGAACTCATCTTATCACAGATACACTTGTACATCCATATTTGTTGCTGCTCTTTTCACAATAGCTAAGAGATGGAAGTGACCTAAGTGCCCCTCAACTGATGAATAGTTAACAAAAATGTGGTATATTTACACAATGGAATTGTATTCATCAGTAAAGAAAGATGAAATAATGAAATTTGCAGGTAAAGGGATGGATCTAGAAACTGTTATACACAGACTCAGAAAAACATCCCTCATATGTGGATCCTAGCACCAAATCCTCATAAGTGAGTATGTATCCAGACATAACTACAGTAACCAGGATAACAAAAAGGAACCAGGGAGGTAAAGGAAAAGAAAAAATCTGAAAGAACAGTAGGAAACATGGGTTAATAAGGGAGCTATGGATAAAAATGGGGTTATTTTAAGGGGAGCTGGGAGGGAGGTTTATACAAGGAACCTTGTGGATAAAGGGAAAAAAGGAGCTCAAGAGAGGTAGGACCGTAGGAGAAGGGTATTATTAAGGGAGAAATGGGAAAAATGAGGCCACTTTAAATGGGGGAAACCATGGTGGAAGAGTTAGACAATGTGAGAGATAAATAATGCCTAGCTAGTTTAAAAAAACAGGGGGAACCATTAGTTCAACAACCTACTGACAAATTATACACACAACTAACTCAAGGAATGTAATATATGTCTAGGCAAGGCTTATCTGAGAATGTTTGGTCTTTGTCCAAGCTTTATCTACATAATTATTTTTAAAAAGGAAAATGAGAATGAAAAAGATGTTAAAAGGATATGGGAATGGAGATATTTT